AACTGGGATGGCATTCATTGGGCTTCTGTCAAACTGGGATGGCATCCATTGGGCTTCTGTCAAACTGGGATGCCATTCATTGGGCTTCTGTCAAACTGGGATGCCCTTCATTGGGCTTCTGTCAAACTGGGATGGCATTCATTGGGCTTCTGTCAAACTGGGATGGCATTCATTGGGCTTCTATCAAACTGGGATTGCATTCATTGGGCTTCTGTCAAACTGGGATGGCATTCATTGGGCTTCTGTCAAACTGGGATGGCATTCATTGGGCTTTTGTCAAACTGGGATGGCATTCATTGGGCTTCTGTCAAACTGGGATGGCATTCATTGGGCTTCTGTCAAACTGGGATGGCCATTCATTGGGCTTCTGTCAAACTGGGATGGCATCCATTGGGCTTCTGTCAAACTGGGATGGCATCCATTGGGCTTCTGTCAAACTGGGATGGCATCCATTGGGCTTCCATCAAACTGGGATGGCATCCATTGGGCTTCCGTCAAACTGGGATGGCATTCATTGGGCTTCTGTCAAACTGGGATGGCATCCATTGGGCTTCTGTCAAACTGGGATGACATCCATTGGGCTTCTGCCAAACTGGGATGGCATCTATTGGGCTTCGATCAAACTGGGATGGCATCCATTGGGCTTCCGTCAAACTGGGATGGCATTTTTTGGTCTTCTGTCAAACTGGAATGGCATCCATTGGGCTTCTATCAAACTGGGATGGCATTCATTGTGGCTTTCTCAAACTGGGATGGCATTCATTGGGCTTCTATCAAACTGGGATGAAATTTATTGTGACTTTCTCAAACTGGGATGGCATTCATTGGGCTTCTATCAAACTGGGATGGCATTTATTGGGTCACTTTCAAACTGGGATGCCATTCATTGGGTTTCTATTGAACTGGGATGAATTTAAAGTCTGTAAAGAAAATATTAGTAGCCTGGGACTGTCCTTTTCCCTTTGCCCTTGACTTGTATGTTTGCTTTGGAAACCAACACACCTTTCTCCTTTTACTTTATTTTTTCCCCCTTTGTGGTAAGCTGTCAGATAAGAAAAGTAAGAAAGAGCAAACATTTCGCTTGGAAGAGATAAGATTAAAGCGAGGGAATTCTTAACAAGAGCCAAAGGCTCCTCCGACCTAAAGGAAAAGATTATGGAAGAAGGAGTGCAACTTGTTACAGGTCGGCCAATGGGTTTCCCAGCAAATCGCTGTGCATTTCGATTACAGTGTTCCTTCACTTATCGCGGGTGTTATGTTCCAGGACCACCCGCGAAAAGTGAAAATCCGCGAAGTAGGGATGCCATATATGTATATCGCATTCTGAGGGTGAGGCAGAAGCAAGGAGAGATTTAAAGGCACGGCGAAAAACCCGCGAAACGGCAAGTCCGCAAAAAGCGAACCATAAAGTAGCGAGGGAACACTGTATTATTATTATCATCATCATCCTGCTTTTTCTCTCTGAATAGAGATTCCAAGCTACTAAAAATGTTCAGAATATGACCATAAAATAATAATAATAATAATAATAATAATAATAATAATGCGGGACATGAGAGAAGCCTCCCACAAGGATGATAAAACATCAAATCATCCGGGCATCCCCTGGGCAACGTCCTTGCAGACGGCCAATTCTCTCACACCAGAAGTGACTTGCAGTTTCTCAGGTTGCTCCTGACACGACAAAAATAATAATAATAATAATAATAATAATAATAATAATATCCCACCCAAACAGTGCAGATTATTCCAAAGAGACTTTCGCGTGGCGCTATACTTGAATGAGATTGTGACTATCTGTGTCCCATTGTATTCTTCTTTCAGCCCGCCCAAAGTTCGGACTAAAACCCAGAGCGGATTCTTCACTGGCCTCTTTCTTGCCTGAAACAGCTCTGCAGAGAGGATGATGGTAGCAGTGGCACCTACAAGGAAGTGGATTTCCATGCCAAGGAGGCCTTCCCAGGATCAAAAAGGTCAATGAATCACCAGTCAATTAAAAGAGCAAAAGTCTTGCTTGTTGCAGAGCGGGCTGAAGCTCGTTGGGCCAAAGGGAAGTGAATTAAACAATTTATTCTGTTGGCATGTGCTGCGGAATCTTCTATTTCCCTCTTCTGGCCTCTTTCAATATATAATAATAATAATAATAATAATAATACACTTTATTTATATTTCCACTCTATCTCCCCGAGGGGACTCTCAGCAGATTACAACACACACAGATAGGCAAACTTTCAATGCCTTTAATACGGTAACAAACAGCAATGACACACAAATTCACAGAACAAAGGTAAAGGCTTCCCCTTTCATCTCCGGTTTCTGGAGGCGGTGATCAACTTTGGCCATGCAGAGGTGCTCTCTTTCCATTTCCAAACCAAGGAGCCTGTTGTCCATAGACACCTCCTGGTCGCGTTGCCAGCATGGTTGCACAGCCGCCTTTATTACCTTCCCGTCGAAGCTGTACCTATTGATCTACTCACATTTGCATGTTTTGGAACTGCTAGGTTGGCAGGAGCTCGGACTAACAGCAGGAGCTCACCCTGACCTGCGGCACAAGGATTTAACTCATTACGCCAACTGCCGCTCCTGTTTATTTATTTACTTCATTTGTTGACCGCCGCTCTCAGCCCTGGGGCGACTCGCGGCGGTGTACAACATGTAAAAACAGTCTACAAAAACATACAATATAACAACAACCGAATTACACATTAATCTAAATCACACTAATAGATCTGCGCCATCACAACATAGAATCATAGCCAATCTCATAATCCATAGTCCGTTCCAAATGTCATTACCAGATTCGTGTGGGTCTCAATTAAATGCCTTCTCGAATAGCCAGGTCTTTAAGCTCTTACGAGTTGTTGTTGCCTTCGAGTCATTTTACGGCATGGCATGATGGGTTCGGAGCAGGTTTGCCTTTGAGGCGGAGAGAGCATGATTTGCCAATAGTCAGCCAAGGTTATATAGGGATTCGAATCCAGGCTTCTGGGGACCCACAGATTGGGAACCACTGGTCTAGACTTTACGAGGGATCAGGTCTGTAAGTCAACAAGGTGCCTCTGCTTTCATTCATGGCACAACATAGAAATAATATGCCAGAGCTGGAGGAAACTTCCACATTCCTAGTTTTGTGTTTGTTCCATGCAAGCAGTTGGGGACGATATTTCTCTCTCTTGTTGAGGTATATATGAGACAAGCAAAACCATAGGTTTCTAGAAGGGAACACAGAAAAAATACAGTAATCCCTCGCTACTTTGCGGTTCGCTTTTCGCGGACTCGCTGTTTTGCGGTTTTCTCAGGAGCCAGCTGGAAAATGAGGCCTAGGAGAAAGGAAGGGAGGAAGGAAAGACAAGAGCAAAGGAAGGATGGAAGGAAGGGAAGGAGGAAGGAGAAAGGGAGAGAGGGAAGGAGAAAGGGAGAGAGGGAAGAAGGGAGGGAAGAGGGAAGGAAGGAAGGACAAAAGCAAAGGAAGGATGGAAGGAAGGGAAGGAGGAAGGAGAAAGGGAGAGAGGGAAGAAGGGAGGGAAGAGGGAAGGAAGGAAGGACAAAAGCAAAGGAAGGATGGAAGGAAGGGAAGGAGGAAGGAGAAAGGGAGAGAGGGAAGAAGGGAGGGAAGAGGGAAGGAAGGAAGGACAAAAGCAAAGGAAGGATGGAAGGAAGGGAAGGAGGAAGGAGAAAGGGAGAGAGGGAAGAAGGGAGGGAAGAGGGAAGGAAGGACAAAAGCAAGGAAGGAGGAAGGAGGGAAGGAAGGAAAGGAGGAGGGAAGAAGAAGGGAAGAGGGAAGGAAGGAAAAGAAAGAAGGAGAGGACAGGAAGGAAGGAAGGAAGGAAGGAGGAAGGAAGGAGGGAAAAGGGGAGAGAGGGAAGGAGGGAAGGAAAAAGAAAAGAAGGAGGAAGGAAGGGAAGGAAGGAAGGAAGAGAGGGGAAGGGAAGGAGGGAAGGAAAGAGGGAAGGAGAAGGACAAAAGAAAGGAAGGAGGATGGATGGAAGGGAAGGAGGAAGGAGAGAGGGAGAGGGGAAGGAGGGAAGGAAGGAAGACAAGAAGGAAGGATGGAAGGAGGAAGGGAAGGAAGAAAAGAGAGAGGAAGGAGGAGAAGGGAAGAAAGACAAAAGGAAAGGAAGGAAGGATGAAAGGTGGAAGAAAAGGATGGAAGGAGGAAAGAGAAGGAGGAAAGAGAAAGGAAGGAAAAAAAGGGAGGAAGGAATGAGAAGGAAGGAAGGAAGGAAGAGGAAGGGAGGAGGGAGGAAAAAGAGAAGGAAGGAAGGATGAAAGCGAAAGAAGGAAGGAAAAAGAGAGAAAGGAGGAAGGACAAAAGGGTGGAAGACAAGGATGAAAGGAGAAAGAGGGAGGGAAGGGAGGGAGGGAAGGAGGAAGTAAAAAGATAAGGAAGTAAAGATAAAAGGGGGGAAGGATGGAAGGAAGGGAGTAAGGGAAGGAGGAAGGAAAAGAAGGAAGGAAGGAAGGAAGGAAGGAAGGAGAAAGGGAGAGAGGGAAGGAGGGAGGAAAGAGGGAAGGAAAGAAAGACAGAAAAAAAAGGAAATAATGAAAGGGTGGAAGGAAGGAAGGAAGGGAGGGAGGGAGGGAGGGAAGGAGGAAGAAAAAAGATTCAAAGTGGAGGGACGCCGCTAACTTTTAAAGGGAAAGTAGCCTTGATGCTCGAGAAGGGCTGTAGGCTGTTAGGAATGGTTGGAGTTGAAGTCCAAAACGCCTGGAGGCTGAAGTTGACCCATGCCTGATGTAGATGCACCCAAAGGCAGTAACTGCTAAGACAACGGCCAATTTGCTTTCCAATCCCTTTGCCATCTGCCCAACGAAAGGGCCGGCTCATTGATGGCAAAATAACTTTTCTAGAGGATGGATCAAGGAGTCTCCAAGCTTTCTTGGAGGAATTCCTCTGCCAATTGTCTAAGGGATCCGGAACCCATTGACCTCGCAATGAGGTCACAAAAGCCGCGGAGGTCTTGCAAGGCCATTTCGTCCTGGATTCTCCTTGGGACGCCATGGATTCTCCAAGAGGCAGCGAGGAAGAGAGAATTCAGATGCCGGAGGAGGCGGCGGACGACAGGGAGCCAAAGAGGACTGAGGTCTGCGTAATTATGATTTTAATTCATTTCCACCAGAAGTCGACATTGGGAATCATGATGGTTTCAAGTCCAAGTCAGACTAAAGATCAAACTCTAAAGCCAAGCCTTGAGAGAGGGCCTCAGGAGTCAGGATTCCTTGACTTCAGTTCCTTGGGATTATGAGGCAACCAACGCACCCATAACCTGGTCCTAGACTCGGTTTCTGTATCAACGGATTTAGAATCAACTTCAAATTCAAAACTTGCCTATGAAAGGAACTATCCATGGTGCTGAAGCTCAAGCAAACTAGTTCATTACCTTGGATAGCTTCTGTAAAATCCAGTTTTCAATAACCTGGATCCACATGTGGGTCTGGGCAAGCTTTCTAACTTGGGGGGCCCATGCTAGCACTCCCTGCCAGGAGGACTGGCTGCCCAGGGATGGAAGGAAGGACCAAAGGGAGGAAGGGAAGGATGGACGGTGAAAGAGGGAAAGAGGGAGGAAAGAAGGAAAGACAAAAGCAAAGGGAGGGAGGGAGGGAAGGAAAGACAAAAGCAAAGGAAGGATGGAAGGGACGGAAGGAGGGAGGGAGGGAGGGAGGAAAGAGGGAAGGAAAGACAAAAGGGAGAGAAGGAGGGAAGGATGGAAGGAAGGAAGGGAAGGAGGAAGGAAAAAGCAGGAGGGATAAAAATGGGAAGGGAAGTATAGGAGAAAGACGGAGAGAGAGAGAAAAGCAGGAAAGAAGGAAAGACAAAAGCGAAGGAAGGATGGAAGGGAGGGAAGGAGGGAGGAAAGAGGGAAAGAAAGAAAGACAAAAGCAAAGGAAGGATGGATGGAAGGGAGGGAGGGAGAGACGGAAGGAGGGAGGAAAGAGGGAAGGAAGGAGAGACAAAAGGGAGAGAAGGAGGAAGGATGGAAGGAAGGAAGAAAAAGGAAAAAGAAGGAAGGATAAAAGGAGGAAGGGAAGGATAGAGGAGAAAGGAGGGAAAGAAGAGAAAGAAGGAAAGAACGAAAGGGAGAGAAGGAAGGAGGGAGAGAAAGAGGGAGAGAAGGTGGGAAGGAGAGAAAGAAGGAAAGAACAAAAGGGAGAGAAGGAGGGAGAGAAAAAGGGAGAGGAGAAGGAGGGAAGGAGAGAAAGAATGCAAGAACGAAAGGGAGAGGATAAAAGGAGAAAGACGGAGAGAGGGAGGAAAGCAGGAAAGAAGGAAAGACAAAAGCGAAGGAAGGATGGAAGGGAGGGAAGGAGGGAGGAAAGAGGGAAAGAAGAAAGGAAAGATGAAAGAAAGGAAGGATGAAAGGGTGGAAGGAATAAAGAAGGAGGAAGGAAAAAGAGAAGAAGGATGAAAAAAGGAAGGGAGGATGAGAAAAAGGGAGAGAGAGGAAGGAAAGGGACAAAAGAAAGGAAGGAAGATGAAAGGGTGGAAAGGAAGGATGGATGGATGGAAGAAGGAGGAGGAAAGAGAGAAGGAAGAAAGAAAAAGGAGGGAAGGAGGGAAGGATGAAGGAAGGATGGATGGAGGGATGGATGGAAGGAAGGAGAGGAAGGAAGGAAGGAAGGAAGGAAGGAAGGAAGGAAGAGAGAAGGAAGAGGAAGGAGGAAGGAAGGGAGAAGGAGGGAGGAAAAAGAGAGAAGGAACAAAGAAAGGAGAGAAGGAGGGAAGTATGGAATGGAAAGATGGATGGATGAAAGGAAGGAAGGAAAGACAAAAGGGAAGGATGGAAGGAAGGGGAAGGATGGAAGGAAGGGGAAGGAAGGAAGGGAAGGAGGAAGGAAAGAGAGAGGGAAAGAAAGACAAAGACCTTTTCGGATGTATGGATGTCTGCAGGAGACGGAGAGCCACTTCCCAAACGGACGGAGCTTTGAAACCATGCGCAGCGAAGCCTTTGCCAGAGCTGCGTCTTCCGGAGATGCGCTGGTTTACTATGCTGAGGGACTCACCCAGGATACCTTCAAAATCGTGAGCTTTTAAGGAAAGGGAATAAGATAAATCTCCCCATAGAAGCACGGAGTGGGTTCGGGTCCATAAACAAGAAGAGCCTGAAAAGGCCAGCCAATTGGTTGATCCACGTCAACAAACTTCAGCTTTTCTACTCAGCTCTCCATTGATCTTATTGCTCATTTAAGGCTAGTCTAAATAATAATAATAATAATAATAATAATAATAATAATAATAATAATAATACACTTTATTTATTTTGTTTTATCTCCCTGGAGGGGCTCGGAGCGGATTACGGTGTACAAATATTTATTTATTTACAGTATTTATATTCCGCCCTTCTCACTCCGCAGAGGACTCAGGGTGGATCACAATGCACATGTACATGGGAAGCATTCAATGCCATAGACACACAACATATATAGACAGAGACACAGAGGCTATTTAACTTTCCAGCTTCATGAGGGGATGCTTTTTGAATTCCGGCCACCGGGGGAGCTGTTGCTTCACTGTCCACTTGTGCATCCGATGGAGTACTTCCTCATTCTTTTGCCCGCTGCTGGAGATTTTTATGGCGTTGTAAATTAAATTTCCTACTTGACAGATACAACTGTCTTTTGGGCTGCAAAGGTCGACAGCAAGCTAGACTCCAACCCAGGCTGGCTTCGAAGTCATGACCTCTCGGTCAGTAGTTATTTTCATACAGCTGACTCCCAACTCAAAAACATGGGGAACTCCAGACAAGAAACAATCAGGGACAGCTAATCACCTCCCAACAAAGGATTCCACAGGCAGTACGAAGCCAGACCTTGAAACTGCTAGGCCATTCAATGCTAATCAAGGTGGAGGCGATGCTCAACTCTGACCATGTTCCATTTTTCCATGCTGTAGACATCTCCGATTGTGCTTTTGCCTGCATGTCTGCAAGGGGCGCCCTTTTACCTTCCCCGCCAAGGTAAAAGGCGCATTTAATGCTTTCGAACTGCTAGGTTGGCAGAAGCTAGAGCTGACAGTTGGGAGCTCACCCCAACTCGTGGCTTTGAACTGCTAACCCTCTGGTCAGCAGATTTCCTGCTGCTAGTGGTATAACCCACTGCACTACCTCACAATCTACAAAGTGCTATGGCTCAATGCTATGGAGTCCTGGGATTTGTAGTTTGCTGAGGCAACAGCACTCTTTGGCAGAAAAGACTAAAGACCCTGTAAACGTCAACTCCAAGTATTCCATAAGATTAGGCCATGGCAGGCAACTTGGGATTTGTTTTCTTCCCAATGTTCTCCTTTCCGTCCTGTAGTGCAAGGAGTGCCTGCGTCCCTTTAAGAAGTGTCTCCGGAAGCTGAATTTGCCCAAGGATTTTCCCAAGGAAAAGCGACTGAGCTGCACCCGGAAAAACCTCCTCATCCTCGGAGACCACATCAACAAGTTCCTCCAGGACTATTGCGAAAAGTGGGAGCTGAAGCACTGGAAAAAGTAACGTACATAGGAGTCCTGTCGGCTGGTTCTCAAATCACCAATGGGGATTTGTAGTTTAGGGAAGCACTAGAGCTCTCTGGCCAAGTTCTAAACACCCTCACCCTAAACAGCACATCTCAGGAGTGCCACGGCACAAGTGGAACAACAACAACAACAATCAAAAACTCTGGCACAAGCCAGTTAAGGTGATCCCAGTGGTGATCAGTACACTGGGTGCAGAGCTTACAGACCTTGGCCTGCACTTAAAAATAATAGGCGCTGACAAAATTACCACCTGTCAGCTGCAAAAGGCCACCCGACTCGGACCTGCATGCGTTATTCACAAATACATCACACAGTCCTAGACACTTGGGAAGTATGTGATGTGTGATCCAATACAACAACCAGCAGAGGGATCTTGTTTGGTGTAATAATAATAATAATAATAATAATAATAATAATAATAATAATATAGTAATATATATATATATATATATAAAAGGGAATAATAATAATAATAATAATAATAATAATAATAATAATAATAATAAGCCAATACATCACACAGTCCTAGACACTTGGGAAGTGTCCGACATGTGATCCAATAGAACAGCCAGCAGAATGATCTTGTTTGCTGTGGACTCACCTTGTTTGTGTAGAATGATTACTAATAATAATAATAATGATAATAATAATAATAATAATAATAATAATAATAATATTTATTTGTTAACCACTTCTCCTAATTTAGACTTGTGATCCAATTCAACAGCCAGCAGAGTGTCTGCTGTGGACTCATCTTGTTGTGTATAAAATAATAATAATAATAATAATAATAATAATACATCACACATTCCTAGACTGGGAAGTGTCGACGTGTGATCCCAATACAACAACCAGCATTGTGTTCTTGTTTGCTGTGGACTAATCTTGTTGTGTATCAAATAATAGTAATAATAATAATAATAATAATAATAATAATAATAATAACAATAATAATAATACATCACACATTCCTAGACACTTGGAAAGTGTCCAACATGTGATCCAACACAACAGCCAGCAGAGCGATCTTGTTTGCTGTGGACTAATCTTGTTGTGTATCAAATAATAGTATTATTAGTAATAATAATACATCACACATTCCTAGACACTTGGGAAGTGTCTGACGTGTGATCCAACACAACAACCAGCATAGTGCTTTTGTTTGCTGTGTGTTCATCTTGTTGTGTATCAAATAATAGTAATAATAATAATAATTACATAGTCCTAGACGCCTGGGAAGTGTCCGACGTGTGATCCAATACAACAACCAGCATTGTGTTCTTGTTTGCTGTGGACTAATCTTGTTGTGTATCAAATAATAGTAATAATAATAATAATAATAATAATAATAATAATAATAATAATAATACATCACATAGTCCTAGATGCCTGGGAAGTGTCTGACGTGTGATCCAACACAACAACCAGTATAGTGCTCGTTTCCTGTGTATTCATCTTGTTGTATATCAAATAATAGTAGTAGCAGTATTAGTAGTAGTAATAATACTTGGTCGCCTTAGTGGATGATCTGCGCCGGGAGCTCGACAGGGGGAGTGTGTCCCTGTTGGTGCTGCTGGACCTCTCAGCGGCCTTCGATACCATCGACCACGGTATCCTTCTGGGACGCCTCGCAGGGATGGGTCTTGGAGGTACTGTTTTGCAGTGGCTCCGGTCATTCCTGGAGGGTCGATCTCAGAAGGTGTTGTTGGGGGACACCTGTTCAACCCCACAACCATTGTCTTGTGGGGTTCCTCAGGGCTCAATATTGTCTCCCATGTTGTTTAACATCTACATGAAGCCGCTGGGGGAGATCATCCGGAGTTTCGGGGTACGGTGTCATCTGTACGCGGATGATGTCCAACTCTGTCACTCCTTTCCACCTGCTACTAAGGAGGCTGTCCAGGTCCTGAACCGGTGCCTGGCCGCTGTGACGGTCTGGATGAGGGCGAACAAATTGAAATTGAATCCAGACAAGACAGAGGTACTCCTGGTCAGTCGCAAGGCCGAACAGGGCATAGGGTTACAGCCTGTGTTGGATGGGGCCGCACTCCCCCTGAAGACGCAGGTTCGCAGCTTGGGTGTGACCCTGGACTCATCGCTGAGCCTGGAACCCCAGGTTTCGGCGGTGACCAGGGGAGCATTTGCCCAGCTAAAGCTTGTGCGCCAGCTGCGCCCGTACCTTGGGAAGTCTGACTTGGCCACGGTAGTCCACGCTCTGGTTACATCCCGTTTAGACTACTGCAACGCTCTCTACGTGGGGTTGGCTTTGAAGACAGCTCGGAAGCTCCAACTAGTCCAACGCTCGGCAGCCATGATTTTAACAGGAGCGGAGCGCAGGGAGCATACAACCCCCCTGTTGCACCAGCTCCACTGGCTGCCGATCTGCTACCGGGCTCAATTCAAAGTGCTGGCGTTGGCCTTTAAAGCACTAAACGGTTCTGGCCCAACTTATCTATCCGAACGTATCTCAGCCTATGAACCCACCAGGACTTTGAGATCTTCCGGGGAGGCCCTGCTCTCGATCCCGCCTGCTTCTCAAGCTCGGCTGGCGGGGACGAGAGATAGGGCCTTCTCGGTGGTGGCTCCTCGGCTGTGGAACGCCCTTCCTACGGACATTAGACTAGCACCATCTCTAATGGTATTCCGCAAAAAGGTGAAGACCTGGATGTTTGAGCAGGCGTTTGAGTAATTTAGTGCAATCTGGTAATGGAACATAGGAATGGAACAATGGACGACGAACCTGGACTACGCTTGGATGATGAGAAGATTGGGTACGGTTGTTTTTTGTAATAATTGTGCATTGTAATTGCTTATTGGTAATTTATGGATAATGTGTTAAGTCAATTGTTATATGTTGTATGGAACCACTGCTGTTTCTACTGTTTCTACTGTTTGTGAACCGCTGTGAGTCGCCTTCGGGCTTGAGATACAGCGGTATATAAGCAAAGTAAATAAATAAATAAATAATAATAATAATAATAATAATAATAATACATCACATAGTCCTAGATGCCTGGGAAGTGTCCGACGTGTGATCCAATGCAACAACCAGCATAGTGCTCTTGTTTGCTGTGTGTTCATCTTATTGTGCATCAAATAGTAGTAATAATAATCGTAATAATAATAATAATAATAATAATAATAATAATAATAATACATCAATAATAATAATAATAATAGCCTGCTTCCCCTTGCTGCTCAAGCTGGGGTACACTATAATAATAGCACAACTCTTGACCTACAGCAACCCCATGAATTTCATATTGCTATCAAGCTAAGAATATTCAGTTACTTCCTTTGAATTATAGCTTACCATATATTGTCGGTCTCCCATCCATATACTGACTAGGGCTGACCCTGCTTAGCGTCCCAGACCAGACAGGATGTGGTGCCTTTAGAGCTTTTATTAACCCACCTTGCTTTAAGTATATGGTATTTCCTCGCTACTTCGTGGTTCGCTTTTTGGTCGCATGGTCTGCGACTCACTGTTTCGTGCGTTTTTGCCTCCCAGTTTATGAATGGTTGCCATTGCCCAGACTGGTGTTCTAATCCCGCTTCCTGGCAATGATGGAGTGTGGAAGGGGGTTTCACCCTCCCCCTCGGGAGAGAGGCTGCCAATCAAGAGAGATCGCAAAGTAAAGCAGATATATATATATATAAGCATCCGTACTTTGCGGATTTTCACTTTTCGCGGGTGGTCCTGGAACGTAACACCCGCGATAAGTGAGGGAACACTGTACTTCTTTCAAAAGGTCTGCTAAACCTAAAAACCAGACAAGACTTGTGTACGAGCATCCCGTGTGTATGTTTCGAATCAGCTCCTCTTATCTGCATAGGAACAAATCAAACATATGTGTTTTCCATTACTTTGTGGGAGGGGATCCTACATTCCTGGCTCGGCAAACAGATCGTACGATAGTCTTTTTCCTTCTGAAAGAAGGGTTCGCGCTCAAAAACAGGGCCGGCGATTTACAAGGACGACGAGGCTTGCAAAACCCAGCCGCTCAATACTGACCATAGTTCAATATCTTGTTAAGCAAGAAAGGACGGCTAAGTCTCGCCCGTGACATGGGGTGCCCAGGAAAACAAGTTAAGCAAAGGCCAATTTCAATAATTGATTTTGTGCAGTCAAGAAGGCAAACAAGAGAACAAAGAGCTCAGATTTCATGACAGCAGTGATCCCACCAAGGCTTGGTAAATTAATAATAATAATAATCATCATCATCATCATCATTTTGTATCGATGTTTTAATAATAATAATAATAATAATAATAATAATCTTTCCATCTCAATGTTGTAATAATAATAATAATAATCTTTCTGTCTCAATGTTGTAATAATAATAATCTTTCTGTCTCGAGGTTGTAATAATAATAATAATATTTCCATCTCGATGTTGTAATAACAACAATAATCTTTCAGTCTCATCATCATCATCTTTCTGTCTCGATGTTGTAATAATAATAATCTTTCTGTCTCAATATTTTATAATAATAATAACCTTTCTGTCTCGAGGTTGTAATAATAATAATAATAATAATAATAACAATAATCTTTCTGTCTCAAAGTTTTAATAATAATAATAATAATAATAATAATAATAATAATAATATTTCCATCTCGATGTTGTAATAATAACAACAATAATCTTTCTGTCTCAATGTTGTAGTAATAATAATAATAATAATAATCTTTCTGTCTCAATATTTTATTATAATAATAACCTTTCTGTCTCGAGGTTGTAATAATAATAATAATAATAATAATAATATTAATAACAATAATCTTTCTGTCTCAAAGTTTTGATAATAATAATAATAATAATAATAATATTTCCTTCTCGATGTTGTAATAATAACAACAATAATCTTTCTGTCTCAATGTTGTAGTAATAATAATAATAATAATAATAATCTTTCTGTCTCAATATTTTATTATAATAATAACCTTTCTGTCTCGAGGTTGTAATAATAATAATAATAATAATAATAATATTAATAACAATAATCTTTCTGTCTCAAAGTTTTAATAATAATAATAATAATAATAATAATAATAATAATAATATTTCCATCTCGATGTTGTAATAATAACAACAATCTTTCTGTCTCAATGTTGTAATAATAATAATAATCTTTTGTCTCGATGTTGTAATAATAATAATAATAATAATAATAATTCCATCTCAATGTAGTAATAATAATAATAATAATAATCTTTATTTATACTCTGCCACCATGGGACTTGGGGTGGTTCACAAAAGTACTTCAAGTGCTGAATATAACAAACAATACATAAGCATATAAAACAGCAATATAACTGTAAAAACAACAGCCACATATGAAACCCCATCTAATAAAATTGTACAATCTGACCACAGATTAAACGAGGTCAAAGGCCTGTCTAAAAAGCCATGTTTTTAAGCTCGCCCAAAAGGCTTGGAGAGTATGGGCTAACCTAACCTCCCTAGGGAAGGCACTCCAGAGCCAGGGGGCCATCGCCGAGAAGGCCCTCTCTCTCTCTCTCTCTCTCGTTCCCACCAACCTTGCTTGAGACAGTGGTGGGATTGAGAGGAGGGCCTCCCTGGCAGATCTCAAAGCCCATGCTGGTTCATAGAAGGAGATGCGATCTTGAAAATAGGCAGAACTCTAAGTGTATAAGGCTTTATAGGGGATAACCTGCACTTTGAATTGGGTCTGGAAACTTATCAGAAGCCAGTAAAGGTGCTTTAATAGGAGCGTGGAATGCTTCCTATAGCTAGTCCCAGTTAGTAATCTTGCTGCTGATTGTTGCACTAACTGCAATTTCTGAGCCATATTACAGTACAGTGTTCCCTCACTTATCGCGGGTGTTATGTTCCATGATCACCCACGAAAAGTGAAAATCCGCAAAGTAGGAATGCTATATATGTATATCGACTTCCGAAGGAGCCCTCGCCTGACCTGTTTCCCCACGGGGACAGGATCAAAGGAAGTGGCCTCGCGACCCCTCCGAAATGGCCAGGCGGACCCTCCAGGGGTCGCGACCCCCAGGTTGAGTACCGCTGCTCTAGAAGGTCTTCAACCCCATTTAGGATCGTAGATTTGGCAATAGGATCCAATTGTAATGACTGTTTGTTTTTTGTCTTTTAAACTCCTGATTTTAGGATGCTATGGAGGTTCGTCTCCCTCTTCTCATCCCTCGACGAGAAGCAACTGTGCAAACTGTACCATTATGGCAAGACGGGCCAAACAGCCAAGTTTCTGGTGAGGATATTCTATTGTTTTGAGGTGTCTCAAATAGGGAGGTATGATTTGGTGCAAAATTCCTCCATTGTCTTGCAACACAAAGCATTTAGAGTTGGTTTGCTTCGTAAGACCAATTACGATCCATTGGCTTTGTGAAATACAGTGTTCCCTTGCTACTTTGCAGTTCGCTTTTCGCAGACTCGCTGTTTTGCGGGTTTTTGCCTCCTGGCAACGATGGAGTGTGGAAGGGGGTTTCATTCTCCCCCTTGGGAGAGAGGTAGCCAATCATAAAAAAGAGAGAGAGGAGATACAAAGCAGTCTGTAAATCACGGCCTTATAGCCCCTTCCTTATAGCTAGCAAAAAAAAGTGCGCAGTGCCTTTAAATCTCTCCTCGCTTCTGCCTCACCCTATATACATATACATATATATATACACATACATATATACATATACATACATGTGTGTGTGTGTGTATATATATGTGTGTATATATATATAAAATTTGTGACATTCATATGCTGCCCTTCTCACCCTGAAGGGGACTCAGAGCAGCTTACAATATACAATACAATAAATAAAATAAATACAATATCTTCCTGGACCCCTCTCTTTATATAGATAGCACCCCTACTTCGCGGATTTTCACTTTTCATGGGTGGTCCTGGAATGTAACACCCACAATAAGTGAGGGAATACTGTACTTACTTACTGTGAACAGAAATGAAAATATGGCTAGATTAGAAGACCTCTGTCTAGATTAGCATGGCAACTATCTCCAACGCAGAACTGACTACTATACTTGTCATCCTCTTGGCTTACATTGTGTTTGGCTGTCGGTCAGGGATGATCCTGCTTAACTGCCAAAATTGGATGGGATTCAGTCCTTTTAGTATATTGAAACTCTTCTGTGTCGAACATAGAGATCTATATACAGGATGGACCCCATATCTGCGGGAGGTGGACCCCATATCCGCGGGAGGTGGACCCCATATCCGCGGGAGTGAATCCTATTTAAATGAAGGGCTTATTATTATTATTATTATTAAACTTTATTTGTACCTCGCTAGCATCTCCCGAAGGACACAATGCAGCTTACAAAGGCCAAGGCCTCCACACAACAACAGCAAACAATAACAATACAATACAAAGCAACAATTAAAACATAAGCAATGACAAAAACATTACACTATCACACATTAAAAACAGGGCCGGACCAATGATGGGTACAGGTTAAAAAGTGCTGGATGTGACGGTGGTATGTTGGAATTCTGGGCAAGTGCAATGTGCAGAGTCTTGACTCTAATAAAGTGCTTCTGGGACATGGTGCTGGGGGTTATCCTATTCTGGGAAGGCACATCGGAATAGCCAGGTCTTCAAGTTCTTCCTAAAGACTGCCAACGTGGGTGCTAGTCTAATGTCTTTGGGGAGGGTGTTCCAGAGTCGGGGGGCAACCACAAAGAAGGCCCTGTCCCTCGTCCCCACCAAACGCGCCTGTGACGCAGGTGGGATCGCGAGCAGGGCCTCTCCAGATGAACAAAGGGAGCGCGTGGGTTCGTAGACAGAGATGCTTATTGTGCTGGTGGACTGAGAGAGGACAGATTTTACCAGACATGGATCAACAAAACTATCTGGAGGGTAATAGATCGTAACCGAAAACAGAATAATAATAATAATAATAATAATAATAATAATAATAATACTTTATTCATACCCCGCTACCATCTCCCCAGGAGACTCGGTGTGGCTTACATGAGGCCGAGCCCAAAATACAACAATACAAGCAATAACAACAATACAAGCAATTTAAAAACAACAAAACAATAACATAAGCATTAACAGTAGGACAACACACTTTAAAATCTATGGGTAGGCCAAATGTAATTAAAAATTTTAAAAATACAATGTTTGTGTATGTTTCAGAAGGCTTATGGTCACTTGGAGGGCTCCAGCCAGGTTCCCGTCTCTGAAAACGGCCGCCTGATGAGGCTGCGCGATACTTGGGGTCTCCACGGGGCCACAGAGAGGCCAGAGGACCTGGGCCCCATCCATTCGTTGCCACCAAACTGTGAGAAACCCACCGGGAGTGGTCTAAAGGAGAGGTAGGAAGCACCATCTTCCCCCTCTGTTGGTCCACTTTGATTCCTAAACTGGGGCCCATTCAGCTAAAGCCACACAGAGGAAAAAGAGAAGATTGGAATGGGATGAAATTCTTGACCATAATAAAAGAAGAAAAAAACATTGTCTTCTCCTGGGACTAAAATATCTCTGGAGAAAGGCAAAAATGTGAACCTTAGGGCTTCTAAAGTCCTCTAGAAGGCATGGCAAATGACTGGGCCACAAAGCACTGTATTATGACAACAGTAAGAATGTTGTGGGTTTGTAGATATTGTTAGGACTGCAACTCCCATGTAGCCTAGCCAAGCATAGCTCCTGGCAAGGGATGATGGGCATTGCAGTCCAACAATACCTGGGGTGGGGGGACCAAGACGTTCATAAAGAGCTTTCACACCTCCAGGCTGGAGAAGGCTTCCTCCAGAACTCAGAAGAGCAACATTGACGTGTCTCATGAGGATCCAACTGCATCTCCCAGCATCCTGAGCAGTGAAGGAGAAGCAGGATCCCAAGAAGCACTTCTGACCTTCGATATGTGAAGCGCTCACCCAATGATGCAGGACCTCATCATTGGCTGTTTTTAGTTCGATGTCTGTGGATACCTGCAGCTGACCATATAAAAGACACATTTTCCAAGAGTTCTCAGTGGCCTTTTGTGATTTAATTTGAACTGTTGGAGTGACATCTAGCGGCCATTGCTCTCCCAAGCAATCTGAAGCTACTCCTTGATTTGGTACTAAATCCAGACCTAACTTCTTGGTCAAATCCTACTGTTTGGGGCTATAATCCAGTGGCTACGTCTTGCATCCATTGTTCTTCAATGGAACGTTATAGTGTTTGTTCTGTCACGCGCTGGGCCTGTAAATAATTGTCTTTAGTACAGGATGTGCAACCTTTGCCCAGTGGGAAGCCAGGGGGCCTAAAGAGAAGTTCTCAGAGGTTTCCACCACAAACAGTCTTTAGATGGCTTGAGAAGTACAGCAAAGTCTTTTATTAATGAACAATCAAACAGAAACTTCTCTTTTCTTCAGTAAAGTTAAGCAAATGATTCCAGCTTTTATGCAACTGGTGAATTCCTAATCTTGCCCACGAAGGACAGGCAACTGTCTTCAATAACTTCTTCTTTAAAGGAAAATCCCCCTTTTAACTTCTTCCAGGCTGAGTGTAATCCAACCCTTACTGATGTGGGCTCCGCTACCGGGTCGAACTGCTTCTCGAACGCGAGTGGACCTACCAGCAAGGCAATAGATGTTCTCCAGCTGGAGTTCTTTGGTCTTTAGGGCTATTTTCCTGGAAGAAAAGAAAGAGGTAAAGAAAGAAGGAAGAAGAAAGGGAAAGAAAAAAGGAAAGGAAGAAAAGAAGGAGTGAAGGAAGACGGGAAAGAAGGAGAGAAAGAGGGAGGGAAGGAAAGATAGAAGGATGGAAGCAAAAAGTGAAGGAAGGAAAGAAGTAGAGAAGGAAGAAAGAAGAGAAAGAGAAAGGAAATGAAAAAGGGGGAAGGAAAGAAAGGGGTAGAGAAGGAAGGAGAGAGAGAAGGACAGAAGAAAGGAAAGGAAGGAAAGAGGGAGTGAAAGAAGGAAGAAAGAAGAAAAAAAAGGGGAGGGAAGGAAAGAAGGAAAGAGAGAAGGAAGGAAAGAGGTAGAAGGAAAGGAGAGAAAGAGAAGAAAAAGAAAAAGGGGAAGGAAAGAAAGAGGTAAAGAAGGAAGAAGAAAGGGAAAGAAAAAAAAGGAAAGAAAAGAGGGAGTGAAGGAAAGAAGAAGGAGGAAGCAAAAAGGAAGGAGGAAAGAGTAGAGAAGGAAGAAGAGAGAAAGGAAAGGGAAAAAAGGGAAGGAAAGAAAGGGTAGAGGGAAAGAGAGAAGGATAGAAAAAAGGAAAGGAAGGAAAGAGGGAGTGAAGGAAGGAAAGGAAAGAAAAAAGAAAAAGAGGAAGGAAAGATAGAAGGAAGGAAGCGAAAAGGAAGGAAGGAAAGAGGTAGAGAAGGAAGAAAGGAGAGAAAGAGGAAGGAAAAGAAAAAGGAAGGAAAGAAAGGTAGAGAAGGAAGGAAGGAGAGAAGGACAGAAAAAGGAACGAAAGAGGGAGCGAAGGAAGGAGGGAAAGAAGCATAAAAAAGAGGGAGGGAAGGAAAGAAGGGAAGAGAGAAGGAAGGATGGAAGCAAAGAGCTAAGAGAAGGAAGGAAAGGTAGAGAAGGAAGAAAGGAGAGAAAGAGGAAGGAAAATAAAAGGGGAAGGAAAGAAAGAGGTAGAGAAGGAAGGAAGGAGAGAAGGAAAGAAATAAGGAAAGGAAGTAAAGAGGGAGCGAAGGACGGAGGGAAAGGAGAGACAGAGGAAGGGAAGACTGGCCACAGCAACACGTGGTGGGTACAGCTAGTCTGATTATATTTTCCATGGTGGGAACTTTATATCCCTCTGTTAGGCTATTCCAAGCACCCAGAAACTGGTTTCGTTTTCCTTGACAGCCTTATCTCTCGAAGCCTGGCAGAACGGCGAAGGCCTTGCCCGAGCTGTCTGTTTTGGCTAATTTCCAGACGTCTGTCTATGTGCTTATTATCTATCTGCTCATTAGTTTCTCCAGGTGCCAAGTTGTTTTCAAACCCCAAATCCTGGGAACTCTCTGGGAGCAGGGAGTAAACTATCATCCCTATACCCTGTAGGAACATTCTCATGGGAAACTACACTTTGAACAGGCCCCTATGTCATTCTCTGCATTAATATCGTTGACCAGACCATCGCCATCTTGACCCTCAAGTGACATCATTCCCTACATCTAAAGCACCTTGATCTTGAAACACAATCACAGGCTGAACTCCAAGAGTAATGAGGGAACACTGTAGCAAGGAGAGAAGAAGAGCCTCCCCCTCGCCCTCTTTACCTTCTTCCTCCTCCTCCTCATCACCAACTATGCCTCTTGCCGCCTCTTGAGTCCGTGCTGCCTACTCAATCGCAGGGCCCAAGCAACGGTAAGAGACTCAAGCGGCGACGAGGAGTAGGAAGACCAAGATAAAGAGGGTGAGAGGGCGGTCTTTTCCCCTCCTCACCCCCTTTACCTTCCTCTTCCTGCTCCTCCTCGCCACCGGGGCCTCTTGCCGCTGCTTGGGCCCCGCAACACCTCCACAATTGCAGGACCCAAGCGGTGGCAATGCTATAGAGCTAAAATTTAGGGGTCTTTGCCAGGAGGCAGAGACCAATTAGACTTATCAAAGAGTTCTTTTTCCCTGGCGAGACAGAGAAGCATCCCATATTTTTCCCTGACTTCCCAATGAAAACTCTCATCAGTTGAAGAAAAGCCATCGAGGTTTAATGCGATTCAGCTGGAACGGATGCAAAACTCAATCATTCGCCAAAGCTAAGCATGAGGGGAGTACACCTATACAGTCATATTTATAGCAAATTCAAAGTTGCAGAGTTCAAACTGCCCGCCCCAGCTTCCCTGTTGTTCCCCGCCATGATTGGGCGATGGGCGAACAGCTAGGAGGCGGCCCTCCCGCCCCCGGCGCCTCTGGACCAATCAGGAAGCTCCAGTGGCCCGTAGGATCCAATGGGGAGACCTCTGCCACCTGGTGGCAACAGCAAATCAGGAGAGGCAGGATGAGGGAACACAATAGAGTCTATGAATGAGTTTTGAAAAAAAGGAAATGCCATGTGGCCTGCGAGACAAAGGAAAAGTCTCAAAACAGGGCTAGTCTATTGTCCCTTGAGTGGCATGTGTGAGGAAAGACCAGATTTTTCCAAGCCAGCAAACAGGAAAACAATGAAGATCAGGCTGAAGTGATTGTTCTTTGATGAATATACAGTAAAATTTAATCAGTGTGGAGGTGAGGGCTTTCCTAAGGCCCACTGATCTCCAGATAGGGAAATGGCCAGGGGTCTGCCTGGATGTTTGATGTTTTTCCTTTCCTTGTGGGAGGCTTTTCTCATGTCCCGTATAAGGAGCTGGAGCTGACAAGGGGGAGCTCAACCCACTCTCCTTAAATTCGGTCAGCAGTCCTGCCGGCACAAGGGCTGAACAGATGTGTCTATAAGAATGGCAGCCAACTGATGGAGAAAATGAATGTCCTGTCTTCAGCACATCGTTTTCCTCGCCAAAGAAGAAAGCAGGCCCACGCCAAACGCAGGAACACTCTATTTATTAAGTCAATAATTCGTTTTAGCAATACAATTACAGAATATCACAATGTCGGTTACAAACATACTCGGTATGGTTTTGATGGTTACAAAGAATAAAACTAGGCATTGCAGTCAGGTGCGAAGTCTGTCTGTCTATATATATATATATATATATATATATATATATATATATATATATATATGCCCCCCTCCCCAAATCTGTTGACAGAAAAGAACAGAATGTTGACTGAGCGTGTTTGAGATGCCTTCGTATAAATAACTGTGGCACAAAAGAGAAGGGGATTTTGGGTTTAGCGCCGCTGGGAGGTGTGCTTGCTCCGCTTTCAGCCATGTTTTGCTTCCAACAATGCTGCTGATATAGAGTGCGTGCGTATCTGTGAAATTTATATCTACATATACACAGTACTTTAAATCCCCTGCAAAGTTCTATGACGTATTGAAAAATAAACAAGTGCTGAACATGGGTAAGATAGGAGAAAACGCAACCAAGACGTCAACTCTATAGGTTCTCTCCCTCTTTTGTTAAATTTTACAGTCTTCTATGGCAACAGAACCATCCTAGAAAGGCGTATACAGTGTTCCCTTGCGACTTCGCGGTTCGCTGTTTTGCGGACTCGCTGTTTCGCGGTTTTTTGCCTCCCAGTTTATGAATGGTTGCCATTGCCCAGAGCGGTGTTCTAATCCCGCGTCCTGGCAACGATGGAGGGTTCGGGAGAAAGACCGCCAATCAAGAGAGATCACAAAGCAAAGCAAAAAAAGGTGTGCGGTACCTTTAA